TGTAGTACAGTGGCACAATCTCGGCTCACTGCAACCTCCACCTCCCAGGTTCAAGCAATCCTTCTGCCTCAGCCTCCCCAGTAGCTGAGACTACAGGTACATGCCACCATGCCCTGCTAATTTGTTTTTTGTTTTTTTGTTTTTTTTAAGTAGAGATGAAGTTTCACCGTGTTGGTCAGGCTGGTCTTGAACTCCTGACCTCAGGTGATCCACTGACCTCAGCCTCCCAAAGTTATGGGATTATAGGCATCAGCCACTGCACCCAGCCTTAAATAAGAGTTGTTTTAACACATTTGTTAACACCTACATCTCTTCTGCCCTCTGCCCCCCACAAATTAGCTCAACCTAATTCGGAGGTTGGCCCTAATACATTTTTCAGCAGTGTTGCCTTCTCAATTTCAAATTCCTGTAAGATCACACCCCCTCCCATCCCAACCCAAAACCTACTAATGATCCCAAGAATTAGAAAATGCTATGCTATGCCAAAAATGAAAATTAAAAAAGGATAAAAAATGGAAGTATTTCTGACACTATTACTAAAATATTTTTTGGAGCAAAGCAATCATATATGATTGAGGTCAAATCTCAGTCCCAATGATCAAATTCAATTTGATTGACTGCTATTAACCCACCATTGCCAAATTTTGATCTTTTTTGTTAAGATTTTACAAATATTTTTAAAATTCTACATGTTTACCCATGTCTAGCACTGTACTGAATACTACCACTTCTGACTCAAAATTTTTGAATTTAGTAATGGAAACAATAATTTGTTTAGGTTATGACATTTCCAAGAACAGCAGTAAGGAATGTAGTTATATTGTACATCCAAATACCATGATGTCTTCCTCTTACGAATCTAAAAACACACTGACCACATTATATCTCTGGACCAGCCCATCTGGACAATACCCCTAAAGCAGTAAAGACTACCTTAGAATTATCCCAATTTCTGAGGGAGATGAGACAATGGTTAGCATGTCCTGGGATGACTATTGGATCACTGGGACAGGCCTACTTCCTATTCATCAACTCCTATTGGGGTAATTTTTGAAAGAAGGCACCTCTTAACTACATGGACAATGACTGTCTCTTGCACAAGAAACACAACATTGGGGCAGGTTTTTCTGAGCAATGGATTTTAGACATGGATATATAAATCACTTGGGATACAGCTAACCATATACAAAAATGTCCATAGTGGCGGGGGGGTGTTCTTACTTGGTAACCAACAAATGCCAAAAAATAAAATAAGCTTTTTGTAACTGATTAATGAAGAAGAAATTACAATCAATTACTGATATTTTACCTTGTTTTACAAATGTACCCTAATTAACCCCATTCAGTTAATATAAATGCTTCCACTCTTCAAAGAAATTGACAGAACGACCAATGACACAAGAATAGCACCATTTATAATATAGATAGCTCTGCAGTAAAGCATAAACAAAAAGGTCGATTATTTAGTCATTATAAATTGACCTCTTGTCCAAAGCAATTCTTGGCTTCACAGAGAACTAGTTCCCCTGAACCTTTAAGGAAAAACACTATCTTTGCATAGCCTCAAAATATTTACTGTCATTGTTTTTAACACATGCCCAGAAATTCCTCCTTCCATTGATGAAGCCTTCTCCCAACCTCTTGAGTGTGAATGGGATTTAGTGACTTGCTGCTAGCGAACAAAAAAAGGAAAGGGAAATACAAGAAGTTTACAGGGAGAAACCTGACAGAGGTTTCTAAGTGGTAACTGAGAGGTAACTAAGTGATCAAAGTTATCATCATCAGCAGTAAGTCCTGTAGATTTTGTGTCCACTGACATAATCCAACAAGAAAGGTACATCATCCTAGGATATTCTCTCCCAGAATCCATAATCTCAGCCTCATCATGAAGAAAAAAAAAAAAAAGAAAAAAAAATCAGAAAAACCCAAATTAAGGGACATTCCACAATATGGTCTACTCTTCAAAAGTGTCACGTTCAGAAAAGACTGAGAAACTGTCACAAATAAGAGGAAGCTAAGGAAATACAAAGAATAAATGCAATGTGGTATCCTCACTTGGAAGAGAAAAAGGCCATCAATGGAAAAAACTGGAGAAATGCTAATAAAGTCTGTGGTATACCAATATTAATTTCTTAGTTTTGATAAAGGTACTACGGTTATATAAAATATTAAGGGAAGCTGAGTAGAAGGTACATGAAAACTCTCTGCATTATTTTTGTAACTCTTCTGAAAAATCTAAAAAGTATTAGAAAATGAAAAGTAATTGGACCTTAATATCATTTAGTATTATGTTAACCTACATACAAGATTTTCTGCAAACTCAACCACTTTCCTCACCTGTTAGAATAGATTCACGGCAGGTTTCTACATGAGTTGCTTTTCATTGAAGAACATCATCCCAGGACTTCAGTCTTTAAAAATGAGACAAACTTTACTAGCAAACATATGGACCTTTAGTGCAGAAAATCACACCCAATAACCACAAATGACAGTTCATTCACTCACTCAGCAATCTCGGTCATCATGAACCATGTGCTATGTACTGTGTCATACGCTGAGAATGAAAAGATCTACCCTCGATAGATGAACCAACCAGTATTTTCACTTCAAGAACATTTCCTAGAAATTAAGAGAATGAAGCTTAAAAAGTGGAATCAGAAAAGTCTCCCTGACCTTGACCAGCTGAACTGGACACTTTCCCTGGGTTGTCCCACAGCACTCTGTACCTGCCAGAACTGTATTTGTTGGTTTCCTCACATCTGTATCACCTCACAAGTGTTATTTGCTAATAACCATGCAGGGTCTGAGATTCCACGTTATCTGTAAGCTAATAGGTTAGCCTGTTACTGTTTCATGGTTGCTAGCAGAAGACATGAGACACCTGGGCCAGAGACAAAGGTGTCTCTGGCAAAAGCAGTAGTCAAACTTGTTAATTTGTGTCAGTTCCTCATGCCCCCAGTCTCAGAGTGGTAATTTGAAGAGTCCTGTACATGCTGTGGACTTTGTTACAGGGTAGGAACACTGAGCTGAGTGTTCTTTTCAGTCAGTGAGTAAGTTCCTTGATTAAGTAGAAGCAACCCTGGAGGAGGTATTACCTCATCCCTCAGGGTTGCTTGCTAGAACAAAGAACAGTCAGAGCCTTGCATTCTTGACCCACCCACCAGGAGCACTCGGCCACTGCAGTTAAGCTCCCCCAGCAATATTCTGAAAGGCAGGCAGTGTGTTGTAGGCATTTCTGTGCCCTCAGCACTTGGCATCATACATGATACACATGATTCCTTACTGTTTGGTAAGTAAGTACCTATAAGCTAGAAATCTTGAGTTTGAGGCAAAAGACTACTGCTCCCAATTATGTGACTATGTACACAGTCACTTAATCTTTTTAAGCTTCATTCTCTTAATTTCTAGGAAATGTTCAATAATAGAAGTTCAAGAAATGTTCAGTGAAAGAATTCTAAGGATTCTTCTCTAATACTGAAAGGTTCATGATTCTCTCAACAGCAGAATGCCAGAAAGCCCAGGTGCCTGATCTCTCTCTGACAGATCCGACTCACAGCGCATTCCCCCACAGAGGTAGAAATTCATGAAACAAATTTCGGATTCTAGTAGGTTGAGTTTTGTTTCTCAGGGTTATTCATTAAAACCCCACATTTCACTGTCAATGTTTATAAAGTCTTTATAAACACAAGACAGAAGACTCTGTAACTACAGAACTTTAAATACAAAACCACATTAATTATCTACTTAGCTAGAAAGAAGTAAAGAAAGTTTCTAAAATTTCCTGATTTTAAAAAACCAGTAGTACCATTATTAAAAACAGTATTTCCCTTCGTGTGCAACACACAGGATATAATAGATCATGACCGTAATGCTCTATATCAGGTTCTTTTCAAGTTCTAAGTAAACAGATAAAATATAGATCTACTTCTCTCTGAGGAATTCTCACCACAGATTATGAAAAGCAGTATGTTGACATCCTCCCCACTCAATGCCACTAAACAGTATATATTCATATTTCATTAGCATTAATTCCATTCTTAGGTCACTGAAAATTCTGAGACCAATGTAGTATTCTCACAACAAATCACCTGAGGATACTCTTTCCATCCCACTTCAGATACGACAGTGCTAAGAATACACCATGCAGTATTCTATATATGCTTTATTCTTTTGCATATATCACCTTTCAGTTGGAAAAGGTACATTTTAAGCTTTTTTCATTTGATTAACTAAGATCTAATTAGTTTATTATGCTGGCTTGCTTTTTATTTAACAAAAGAGGAAGGGAAAGGGAAAGTTAAGGAAAAGAAAAGAGAAAAGCAATGGACAGCCAGTAGGCAGTCTCTTGCCTCCACAGTGTTAGGATGGAATAAACCCACAGACTAAGGGTCTTCCCCTATTCCAGCCTCTCATCACCCTGCAACTCGCCTCTCCAGCTGCAGCCTCGGGGACCATCTCCTTGCCCATTTCCTTCTTCTGAGACCAGCTAACAATGGTTTTTGTAGTTAGCTCTTGTCTCCAACCAACCATGAACTCCCAACTCTACCAGAATTATACTACTGAGGTCAAGGCTACTGCCAGCTGCTTGGTCCACCTGTATCTGTGGGCCTCCTCTACTTATCTCTCTCTTTCTCTCTCTGGGCCCCAGTGTGGCCCCAGAAGGCATGAACCACTTCTGCCACAAGTTGGCGAATAAGCGTGCCAAGCATGCCTAGAAGATTCAAAATCAGTGCTGCACGCAGAAGCTGCCCCAAGATGAGTGGGGTCACACCCTGGGTGCCTAGAAAACTGTCCTGACCCCAGGGAAAACTCTAACCAGGTCCTGCTGGATCTGCAGGCCCTGGGCTATGGCCACAAGGACCCGCATTCTCTGTGACTTTCTACACAAGGAGGTGAAATGCATCAAGAAGGAAAACTGCCTGACCAACCTCCATGGGTCAAAAGATTCACCCTCCAACACAACTGGGAGCCTGGCAGTGCAGTGTCCTGAGGCCCGGCTGCAGCTCCCAAGCCTTGGGGCTTCTGTCCAGGTGTCTGCCTCCAATCTAAAGGCAGCTTCCTAACCAACCACAAACCCTCTCTGAAGCTGCAGACCAAATGTAAACAACACAGCTTCTTTTTTTGCAGAAACAAAAACTGTGTATCTTAGTGATACATACATAGATTTTTTTTTTTTTTTTTTTTTTACTTTCAGATAACCAACAATATACATCGATTTTAATGAAAAGTATCAAGTGCAAAAAATACCAACTTTGAAGCCAGGCATACTTAAGTTTGAATCCTGATTCTGCTACCTAAGAGATATGTGAATTTTGTACAAATTGATGAACTTTATTTCTAAGGCTTAATTTCAACATGTACGGAAGGAGATGGTGAAATCTACCCTATTAGGTTAAACTTAGGATTTAATGAAATAGAGAAAGCGCCCATGTAACACATCTCACACAGAGCTTGCACCTGGTAGGTTTCAGGAAATGACAGCACCGATGACCACCATCAGCTTGTTAGCTTAACATCACCTGCTGTTGCAGGGTCACTAGCAGCCACAGGGCTCATTTACACACACACGCCTTGCCTATTTATTTATTTATTTATTTTTGAGACGGAGTTTCACTCTTGTTACCCAGGCTGGAGTGCAATGGCGCGATCTCGGCTCACCACAACCTCCGCCTCCTGGGTTCAGGCACTTCTCCTGCCTCAGCTTCCTGAGTAGCTGGGATTACAGGCACGCACCACCATGCCCAGCTAATTTTTCGTAGTTTTAGTAGAGACGGGGTTTCACCATGTTGACCAGGATGGTCTTGATCTCTTGACCTCATGATCCACCCGCCTCGGCCTCCCAAAGTGCTGGGATTACAGGCTTGAGCCACCGCGCCCGGCCACCTTGCCTATTTATTAAGCCTAACCCTTTTCAGAACACTGGGTGTGCTCACTTAACACAAAGATAAAACACTATAAAACTGTCTCAAAATTAAAAGCCAAGAGAACAGAACTTACAGGGTTGAAAAAACTCCTTAATAAATAACCTTGCTCTATCCCATGCAGCAAGAAGGACATTGTTGAACCCATTTCCATTAAATAAACCAAATCCATTTTGAAAGATTTTCAGTGAAGATGATTTCCCAACTCTCCCTTGAATGCCCAGTTAACATTCATAGCACAAATGGCTAATCTAAATCCCCTGCATTTTAGTTTAAGCACATGTGATTCTTTTTCCTTTGCCTTTACAGCTTGCAAAACACAAAGTATTAAACCATTCTCAGACTTCTTTTGCTTAGCATCCTAAACCTTTCATTATAGATCCTGTTTTTATTTTCAATCATCTTTCAAGTTCTCTGTGTCACCTCTGTAGTTGCAGAAGTTAAAATAGTTCAACAAATCACACACACACACACACGCGTGCGCGCACACACATACACACACACACACACACACACACACACACACACAAGCTAAATAAAAGGGACAGTGAGTTAATGGACATTGCTCTTATTTTTCTAATTACATATATATGTTAGTACCATGGTTGGATATTTTATTGACAGCCCCATATTAATGACCTAATTTCAAATATGACCCACAGTATATTCTAATCCAACAGTTTGCTTCTCTTTGCCTAAAAAATAATTCTTAGCTTTTGTACAGAGCTTTGGAATTTTAAAATAATTCTGCATGATCTTCACAACTACCCCTAGATTAAAGCAAGGCAGGTATTATTTCTAACAGCTTAAAAAAAAAAAAAAAAAGGTTTCAAGACAACCAAAACCAAAACTAAGATCCCTGGATACCCACCAAGTGTTCTTTCCATTCTACTACCTAAACATGTATACTACACTTCAGGTACACTCTGAAAAGATGCCTTTCCTACCACAAAACTAACACTACAGCTAACCCTTTTCATAGTCTCTGAATTCATGTTTCATGTGTTTTATTTTAGACGAGGTTCTACATGATTTAAGGAAAAATATCCTTTTATTATCTTTCTAGAGCAATTCATGAGAATATATCAACTTCTAATTAAATATGACATTGATCAGGAGCATTTATTTGCTCTCCTTCCCAAAGTCCACCTAAAATAATCTTAATTTTTTTAAAGAGGGGTATGATTCTACAAGATAATCATGCAAAGAAGAGACAATACCAATTGAGAGGGATACATCAGATGCTATTAGAATGTAGTGCACAGATGAGGCCAGGTGCAGTGGCTCACTTCTAATTCCAGTGCTTTGGGAGGCAGAAGCAGGAATATCACTTGAGGTCAGAAGTTGAAACATGCCTGGCCAACATGGTCAAACCTCGTCTCTACTAAAAATACAAAAATTAGCTGGGCGTTGTGGTGCATGCCTGAGTCCCAGCTACTCAGGAGGCTGAGGCACGGGAATTGTTTGAACCCAGGGTGCAAACGTTGCAGTGAGCCAAGATCACACCACTGCCCTCAAACGTGGGCGACAGAGTGAGATCCTGTCTGGAAAAAGAAAGAAAAGAATGTAGTACCCAGATGATTTGATGACGCATCCAGTTATCTAACTGAAGAATAACTTGAATACAAGGCATTTGATAACCAGAAGAGTACCTGGAATACAAATTAAACTCAAAAAAGATTCACTCATGTTCTCTCATTAAGCTATGTCCAGAACAACTAGTTTATATTATCTAATAATAAAAATAAACATTCAGTCCGTAATGAGAACTTGAGACTGGAGTCACTGCTAGTGATCCTATGGCTCAGTTCTGGGGGCTTGGGACCAGAAAGATAACCACAGCAGCCAAAAATGGTGATAGTGAAAACAACGTCTGCTCTGGGGACTGAAACCTACCACCATCAAATCAAGTATTATTTTGATGACTTTAATTTGCCATGAGACAAATTTTGAAAAGGAACAGACTAAATTGGGTGAAAGCTGGATACCTCTGGAAATAACAAAATTCAACAGGTTAAATTACCTAACAGATTTTAATAAATAGAAGCACTGAACAAATCAAAGGGAGAACCAATGAAAATACAGATAAAACTAAAATCAGCAGATTTCCAAACAAACCTCCCTCTGACTAGTACAAAATGTCCCTCTGGCAAGGGATGAGTTGAAAAACATGATGTAAAACCAGATCCATTCATATGAAAGGCTTCCCAATGGATGCATAATTCTTTTATGCCTAATCTTCTAAAGATTAGAAGATAAAGGTCAAGCACTAAATATTCAAATGAGAAAAACATTACACAAAGCATTTTAGCAATCAACATTTGCGGTGTTTCATAGTATTAAATCCAATAAAAAGTTTATAAAGACCCGAGCCCTGAACCCAGCTATAAAAATACAGACCTTCTAATACTTTTCAAGGAGGGTTACATTGCAAAAAGAGACTGAAGGCAAGCAAAACAAAGTATAAACTAAATTCAGAGCTGAGCAAGAGCAAGAAGAAAAATGGAAGTGCTGCAAAGGATAAATGCTTACGAGGATGGACGCCCAGTTTTCCATGATGTGATTATTATGCATTGCATACCTGTACCAGAATATCTCACGTACCCAGTAACTATACATACCTACTATGTACCCACAAAAATAAACAAACAAACAAACAAAAAAAAAAACAGAAGTGCTGAGGATGTTGAAATGAAATGTCTAGGTTGGATGTTTGCTGAAATTTTGGGGTGTAGATGATCCGACCTGTAGAAAGCATCCGCATAACCTTTTCTCAAATCATGGGGGGAATAAAATGGATAGAATTTATCCGTGGAGCAAAAAAGGAAATAATTCTATTTAAGAAAAAAGCTAAAAAAACACTAAATAAAGCAGAAGCAGCCAGTAATTTTAACCTACGACGAAGAAACAAGGAAGAAATGTGGAAAGTACTAGATAGAAAGGCAGAAAAAGAAACACTGAAAAAAACTCATGCAAAAATCACCAAGATTCCCTAAACAAATGAGAATCAAAAGGTCATAGATTTAAAGGGAAAGAAAAGGGAAATAAAGCTGCCTAGGCTGGATCTGCTAAAGGAAAAGTACAACTTCAGGGCAGGAAAATGAAAATTCAGGATGATGAAAATGATGCAGCTGGACCAGTGGAAAAAAAGAGCCTCAAAACAATAGAAAACACAAAATGGCTCTGGAGACTAGCAGTTGAGCAAACAAATTCTGCTCTTAACTTTTGAAGGTTTTTAAAAAGAAAATCAGGTTAGGCCAACTTCAATATTCAGCTATAAGGAAAGGAAAGGTTTTTTGTTATTGGAGTTTCCCTTTTTTCTTTTTCGTTATCTAACTGAAAATTTTTTTAGCCCTGTCAGCCAGAACAAATGAAAAAAAAAAAATTTTTTTTTCTTAGAGTTTCACTCTTGTTGTCGAGGCTGGAGTGCAATGGCGCAATCTCGGCTCACTACACCCTCCGCCTCCCGGGTTCAAGCGATTCTCCTGCCTCAGCCTCCTGAGCAGTTGGGAGTACAGGCATGCACCACCATGCCCAGCTAACTTTGTATTTTTAGTAGAGATAGGGTTTCTCCATGTTGGTCAGGCTGGTCTCGAATTCCCAACCTCAGGTGTTCTGCCCACCTCGGCCTCCCAAAGTGCTGGGATTACAGGTGTCAGCCACCACGCTCAGCCACAAAATTTTTTTTAATGTATAGTTCTGTTTGTGTTATTTCAGATGTTTTAAATATCAAAGCAAGAGTCATCTTCTACTATATTGCCTTTGTAATATGAGACTATGTTAGTACAAACTATATTCCATACAAGAAGAGGGAAAAAATAAACTGAGGGCAAATAGAACTGTCCTGTTGCCTCATGGAAAGAAAAGGTTCAAGGTTTAGTTTAAAAGAACAGGCTGCTAGAGAAATTTCTTTTCCCTTCAGTCTAATAGTTGGCACAAGGATACAGAGGAGAAAAGAAATTCAAATGTCATTACAATTAAAATTTCCCACCCAATATAGCTTTTCATAAAATTACACTGAGGAAAATATGTAATAGCTTTAAGCGAAAACATACACAGACAGCAACTATACTGACCAAACTGCAGTCTAGTTATTTCGTTTTTATTTGTACCTCTAAGAATAGTATTTATGGACTTGCACATAATATTTTCCCCATGTTTATCTTCGATATTGATCCAGTGTGTTCTGCTCACACTGTAAACATTTTTCTAACTCTGGCTATCTATGCCATCTTGAAAGGAACAGACAATGCATATGGCATGAATCCAACGATCGACTTTTGGGGGAAAAAAGTGAAGGGCTGAAGAAATTTCTTATAGATCTTACTTTTTATGTTTGAAGGTAAGAGTAGGGTGTCATTTTCAAAGCTCTTGAAACGTAACTTAGAAGTGCAAGAATACTATTCAAAAAGAAAAGCTGAAGGCATGGTTAGCTCTTTCAGAGTCTTACAGAAAGAGTTCTACAAAGACACCGAAAGACTCACAATTCTAGAAAAAAAAGTGTGACTGTGAACAATCGTCCCCCTTCCCATATCCACCACCAATAAAAATGAGGGTGTCACTGTCCATGGCCAGAAACAAAGCAGGCAGTGCCTGGGCAGCACAAGTGAGGCAGGCGGGAAAGAGCTGCCTCTCTAAAAATGGTTCCCACTTCTATGGCAGTAAGAGAAATTTTCCCATTAGAAATCTACTTTTAAAGATTTGTATTCATTTTATAAAGAAATCTGTAAAATTTTAAAAATTGACAATACATATAAACTTAAAGAATAATTATTAAACCAACACAAATAACCATCGTCTGGGTCAGGAAATAGAATACTGCCAACACCACACCGACTATCTAGCCCTCCTCCATCATTACACCTCATCTCCCCCACTAGAGATGACCACAATCCTGATATCTGGAATGATCATTTCCTTGATTGTCATTTTAGCATTTAAATATGCATCCCTAAATAACAGGGTTTTTTTTCCATGTTTAAACTTTATATAAATAGATTCATACTAAAGAATTCTGTGGGCATGTTTCTTTTACTTCATGCTATGTTGAAAAGATTCATCCATTTATTTAAGCATTCATTCCACTATTAATGAATATTTGTGTTGCTTACATCTGAGGCCCTTCTGAACATACAGCTGTGAACACGTGCGCATACACGTGCTAGAGTTTCTCTAGAGCAGGGGTCTCCAACCCCCAGACCATGGACCAGTACCAGTGTGTGACCTGTTGGGAACCGGGCTGCATAGCAAGAGGCAAGTGAACAAAGATTCTTCTCTGTTTACAGCCACTCCCCACTGCTTGTATTACAGCCTGAGCTCCGCCTCCTGTCAGATCAGCAGCAGCATTAGATTCTCATAGGTGCCAAACCCTATTGTGAACCGCACATGCGAGGGATCCAGGCTGCGTGCTCCTTAGGAGAATCTAATGCCTGATGATTTGTCACTGTCTGCCATCACCGCCAGATGAGAGTGTCCAGTTGCAAGAAAACAAGCTTAGGACTCCCACTGATTCTACATTATGGTGAGTTGTAAATTATTTCATTATATATATCACAATGTAATAACAATAGAAATAAAGTACACAATAGATGCAGTGTGCTTGAATCATCCTAAAACTACCATCCCCACCCCAGTCTGTAGAAAAACTGTCTTCCACAAAACCGGTTCCTGGTGCCAAAAAGGTTGGGGACCTCCACTTTAGAGTATCCTTTAAGGGTGAAAGTGCTAGATCTTCAATTGTACTGGAAAATGGCAAACTATCTTCCAAAGTGAACATCAACATATACATACACTGTGTATAAAATAGAAATTCACTTTTTAATTACTAGTCTGCAAAAATTTACTGTTACAATGGAAATCTACTTAGAGAATATGTTAAGCTAGGTGTACTCTTAGAAAAAGGTCTATTTCAAAATAGCATTTGAGAATTGGACCAGAGGTCCAGCTAATTTGGGAAGAAAATATAACATAGAGGCAGCCTTCCATATTAAATCCTCCATATTGTATTTAACCAATCACAGATCAAAAATATTTTTAAAAAATAAAAACAATAGTGGCCAGGCACAGTGGCTCACACTGTAATCTCAGCACTTTAGAAGGTCAAAGAGGGAGAATCACTTGAGGCCAGGACTTCAAGACCAGCCTAGGCAACATAGCAAGATCCTGTCTCTACAAAAAAAAAAAAAAAAAAAAAATGAAGAAATCAGCCAGGCATGGGTGGCAAGACATCTATAGTCCCACCTACTCAGGAGGCTGGGGCGGGAGGATTGCTTGAGCCCAGGAGCTTGAGGCTACAGTGAGCTATGATCATGCCACTGCACTCCAGCCTGGGCGGCAGAGAAAGACCCTGTCTCTCTAAAAATAAATGAATAATGAAATTTTTTTCAATAAACAATATAACAAGAAAAATACAAATAAAAATAATACAGGATAACTGTACATAGCACTTACATTGTATTAGATATTATAAGTGATTTAAAGCAGATTTAAAGTATATAAGATATCTATACTCTTTTCATAGGTTATATGCAAATACTGTGCCATTTTATATCGGAGGCTTGAGCATTCCTAGATTTTGGTATCCACAGGGGTCCTGAAACCATCTCTCTTGGATACCAAGGGAAAACTGTATAAAGAACAGTACTTAAGTCCTCAAAAGCATTGCAACAAAACCAAAAATTAACAAGTAGGACCTAATTAAATGAAAGAGTTTCTGCTTAGCAAAAAAATAAAACAAAAACCAAAAAAATACTATCAGCAGTGTAAACCAACAATCTATAGAACGAGAGAAAATATTTGCAAACTATGTATCTCTCAAAGTTCTAATAATCTTTAAAGAACTTAACAAGTTTAAAAACATTTTAAAATGGGCAAAAGACATGAAGAAACACTTCAAAAGATGACACACAAGTTGCCAACTAACAGATGAAAAAATGCCCAATATCACTAATCCCAGAGAAATGCACATCAAAACCACAATGAGATATCATGTCACACCACTCAGAATGACTATTATTAAAATGTCAAAAAAAAAACAAAAAACCCAGATGCTGATGAGGCTGTGGAGCAAAGGGAATGCTTACACACTGTTGGTGGGAGTGGAAATTAGTTCAACCACTGTAGAAAGCTGTTTGGAGATTTCTCAAAGAACTCAGAACTACCATTTAACCTAGCAATCCCATTACTGGGTATATATCCAAAAGAAATGAAATCTTTCTACCAAAAAGACATATGCAGCTGTAGGTTCATCGCCAGCACTTTTCTCAATGGCAAAGATATGGAATCAACCTAGGTGCCCATCAATAGTGGACTGCATACAGAAAATGTGGTACATACACATCTTACAATACTGTGTGGCCACAAAAAAGAATGAAATCATGTCCTTTGCAGCAACATGGATGTAGCTGGAGGCCATTATCCTAAGCAAACTAATACAGGAACAGAAAACCAAAGACCGCACGTTCTCACTTACAAGTGGGAGCTAAACATTGGGTACTATGAACATAAAGATGACAATAGTGAACACTGAGGACTACCAGAGAGGGAAGAGCAAGTGGGCAAGGGGTGAAAAACTATTAAGTGTTATGCTCAGTACCTGGGTGACAGGATCCATTATATCGCAAACCTCTGCATCAGTATCATGCAATATACTCAGGTAACAAACCTGAACATGTACCTCCTCGATTCAGAATAAAAGTTGCAATTATTTTTTTTTTTTAAAAAAGATGAATACAACAACAACAACAAAAAAGGAACAGTCCCAAGCATAGGCCTTTCTCTAAGATACCAAATCTGGATTATATCTCACCATGATGGCAATGGCCATACTTCAGGGCACATGGCAAACAAACACTTGAGACAGAAGAGAAAAACAGATGAACAATTATAGATGGAAACAACTACAAGTAAGGGAAAGGGGGAAAAAAGCTTATTTTTATTACTTAACCTAAGACCACTGACTTTTTAATGCTTAGAGACTTAGAAAAACACAAGCATTCAATAAATGACTCAACAATCAATGGTATTATACCCAAGAACTTCTAATTTCTCAGAAAAATATAAACAATGGTGCAGCCATTGCTATTTATGTCTAACATTCGAGAGAAAATATTAGACTATGACTTTACTGAATAGAGATAACTAAGGTTCTATTAGAACAAAAATTAAATACTAAAACTAGGTACCATGTTCACATTTATTAAGCAGAACTAAAATCAGCGGTAACTTTGAGATAAGATGCTGGCATCATCAAATCAAGCACTGTTACTTCTATTCTTGCTCTTCCTACGTGGAGAAACAGTAGTGCCCAAAAATAGAGTCATGGTAGAAGTAGACTCAAGTCAACATTTATTTGGCTTGGTGGCCTGTGCTCCTTACACTAAACCACATTGTCAAAAGAAAACTGTCACTTCACAGGCCAAATTTAAATGTTCAATATTAAAAATCAAATGTTGGAAGATTGATAAATTGCTCCTAATTTCACTACTTTGGTGTGTAATAGAGACATTATATACTCATAAAGAAAAATAGAAAATGAAAATCAAAAGGATTTATACTGTTTAGGAGACTGAAGTATAAGGTAATTATGCCACCTCACTCCACCAATCAAAAATGGTTGCAAAAGCATATAACAATAAAATGTAACACTCTTCAGGAGAATAAGCAAAATTAGAACTTTTAGAAGAAAATATAGGAGAACATCTTTAACCCTGGGGGAAAGATGGAGTTCTCAAGGCACAAAACAGCATAAACAGTAAGATAGACAATTGACAAATTCAACTGAAATTTATAACAACGCGCTGAAAGACATCACTATAGAAGTGAATCTCATATCAAGAGATATCTGCAAACACAAATATCCAAAGATAAGTATAAAGACTACATTTTTTTAATCCACAAATCAGTAAGAAACAAAACAGCCAAATGGTTAAAGAATGTGAGCAAGCAGTTCACTAAGAAAGCAAATACCACTAATACAAAGATGTTCAACCACAGTAATAACTAAAGAAAGGTAAACTAAAACCTTCAGCGATGAGGCCTCCACATCATCTCAGAGCAGGCACGTCCATGCTTTTATACAAGACTGTATCATTACCATCATCTGCAACCCCCTGCCCCACCAAATCTCAATGTCAAATATTCTAATCTGCAGCCACCGCTTCCCACCTCTCCAACTCACACCTTCTCAAGAAGGTCAATAATCCATCTGCCCAGAAGAATCTGTCATCCTGTGATCCCACGATCTTTTTACTGCCCTTCATCTTCTCTTATACCTTCACTTATTTCCTTATCCCATTTAAATTTATGTCAATCATTCTAATCATCTCCTTTTCCCTCTCTCATTTCATTGCATTTGCTCTACTAAACTATAATCATGGTTAAGTCCTACCCTTCCATCCCGTCTTTCTGGGTCTGCACCCACACAGCAGAATATGAGTCAGGGAAAAGTATACCTGTTCTCACCTTAAATTTATGAATACTCCTATTGTGGCCCAACATCTATACCATATTTTCCTATTTAGAAAATAGGAAACTGTATTTTCCCACTTCCTCGACAACTATTGCTAAACTTCTACTCTCTCCCTTCCACTTCCAATACCTCCTCCGCAACACTTATCCTTGGTTTTCTTAGAAGAATGCTTCCTCAAGCCCCCATGACATCTACCCATATCCCCATATCTATGCCCATATATTCTACTTTTCCTCCAATTACAGTTGAAAACTGCCCAAGCCCCAGCAATGGGCAATCTCTCCACCTGCACAACAGATCCTATCAAGCTCATATCTACTAAAGAATATAAATCCAGGAATTGTCACTTTTCCCCACATTAATTTTGCCCTCTTTTCTGGATTTATCAAGAAGTAAACATGTAGTTATTTCTCCCATCTTTAAAAAATGTCTTGACTGGCCAACCACAGTGGCTCACATCTGTAATCCCAGGTCTTTGGGAGGCCAAGGCAGGAGGATTGCTTGAGCCCGGGAATTTGAGACCAGCCTGGGAAACATAACAAGACCCTGTCTCTATAAAAGAAATGCCAAAAAAAAGAAACAATTAAAAAGTCTTGACCCACTTCTTCCACCAGCCCATTATTCTCCTTTCCTTTATAACAAAACTCTTTAAAATTAAGTCATGTATGTCTGCTGTCTCAAAGGTCTCCTCCCACATTCTTTTTAAATTCAAGAAAAAATTTAGCCCACCACTCCAACAAACCGCACCTGTCAAGACCACCAATAACCTTCCTCTTGTTAAATTAAATAGTCAATTCTTCATTGTCATCAACTGCATTTGATACACATTTCTCCTGCCTCAAAACACTTAGAGACACTACACTCTCCTGGTTATTCCTTCTACCACTCATGCTCAGTCTCCTTTGCTGGTTTCTTCTCTTTCCCCTAAACTCTAGACATTGTGGTGCCCGGAAGTCGGCACTTCTCTAGGTAATAACTGCCCTGGTCATCTCATACATTCTTATGACTTTAAATATCATCAAAAGGCTGGCATCACCCAAATGTACTATCACCAGCCCACGCCTGGTTCCTGAACCCTACATTCCTCTATCAGGCAGCCTGCTCCATGTCTCCTATTAGATGTTGTGCTGGGTCTCTTCCGTGTGCCAATGCAGACTTATCCACCACCCTTCTCCATCCAGTTCTGCCCTAAAAGCTTGACCAGTACAGACTACAACTTCCCTTGTCTTCTGGCTTCCAGCAGGTTAGGCTTATGGAAGCCCTGGCAGAGACAGGAAGAGAGTATGTATTCCTCTGACTCTCTCAGTTTAAGATCATCTTCACTGGCTGAGTGCCCTCAATGAAGGTGATTCATTCTCCCAAGGCAAACTCTATGACCCTCTTCAAACTTATAGTAACTAGGGCAGTAACATATGCTGCTGCTCACCGTCCCGACACAGCACTACCTCAGTGCTTTCGCTGTACCCCACACATACCTTTGTAAATGGTTCCTTTGTCAAAATGTCCAATTATATTGAGTGTGCCAGCCATTTCTTGAGGAATTCTGATAGCAACAGGTATCTATGTGACATCTCAATTTTAACATGTGCAACACTAACTCCTATAACTTACACACCTCAGTTAATGGCAACTCCCTTCTTCCTACTGTTCAGACCAAAAACTTAGTGTCATCCTTACGTATCTTTTTATCTCATACCCAGCATCTGCAAGTGCTCTCTGCTCTTCCCTCTACATAGATCTAGAGCCCAACCACTTTTCATCACCTCCACAGCTCTCCTCTGGACCCAGAACCTATCACCATTGCTCGCCTGGATTATTACTAGTGGCTTCCTAACTAGTCTACCTGCTGTTAGTAGTACTAGTGGCTTCCTAACTAGTCTACCTGCTCCCCTCTTGCCAGTGTTCAGTTCCTTCCAACACAGCAGAGTGATCCTGTTAACACAGGAGTTAGCTGTATCACTCTTCTCTTCAAAGCCTTCCAGTGGTTTTTTCCGTCTCACTCAGAGTAAAAACAAACATCTTTACAATGGTCTACAATACTACGCAATCTGGCTGCCTTTCCAAATTCATTGCCCACTTTGCTTCTGCACCCTGGCCTTCCTTGTGATTCCTTATCCTCCTGTCTCACAGACTTTGAGCTTGCTATTCCCTTTGCCTGGGATACTTTTCCCAGACATCCTCACTTGCTCCCTCACCCTCCTCAGATCTTTGGTCAAATGTTATCTTCTCAATAAGACCCCTGGCTACTTCTAAAATGGTAACAGCCCTTCCTTTCTATCCTAAGCAAGTATGGCATTTTGTATACTCTTGTTTGTCTCTACCCTTTAGAAAGTCAACTCTGTGAGGTAGGTTTTTATATCTGTTCTATTCACCGCTCTATGCCCAGCCTCTAAGCCAATACCTGGAACAGTGGGCACTTAAATATCTGTTGAATTAACTACACTAGACACCATTCAATCAACTGGTCACAACTTAAAAGTCCAACAGTACTATGAATTGGCAGAGATGCCGAACACTAGGAACTCTAGCTCATCTTTACTGTGGAAAGCAATTTGGCAATATCTAGAAATGTTTATGACTGCAAGCCTAAGGAATCAGCAATTTTTTTCTCAGCTGTATATCTATTTATACAAACAAGGATAGATACTAGGAAGCAGAATCATCCCAAGGAGTATGGACAGCTTACCAAGAGAACACTACGTACTCCAGAATTTTTATTTTCGGAGAATGAAGTTTACCTCTCGAAAGTAAACCAATATAGCACTATGGCACTAAGTATGAAGAAAGCATGGCAGCTCTTCTCAGGCTTATATTATCGTAAGAAGAAACTGATAAATTAGCAACGGGGTGGGAAAGAAATGTAAGTACATGTCAAAAGACAGGACAGTTGCAATCACCAAAAAAAAACCAATCACAGATAAGCCTCTTCAGAAGAAACCAGTAAGAAAAGACAGACTGCAAGAAAAATACATGACAGACACAAACCATGCCAGGTTTTCAATTATAAATAAAATGTTAAATAACCAAAATCATAATCCAGAGGACAGGCCTGGTAAGTTAGACTAGAATTTTTAACTGCCTCCCAACATTTATAAAGTATCTCTTTTGGGCAGATACTGGTAACTGAATAAATAATTGATTGAATTAAATTTACTTTAGTCCACAAGTTAATTTCATCGGAACTACTTCAATTTTGTCCCCCTAGATCTTCTGGCAGAACAACTGATAAGAATTAAAACTAACCAGCCCATATTTTACCTTCATTCCTCTTCTCCCATCTTGAAGCAAAGTACTTATAAACCCATAACTAGCCAAAACATAGGTACCAAGAGGGAAGCAGTCATTTGACTGGAAAAATTATTTAGTGTTACCAATCCTTTAACAGTCAATGAGTTGAGAGCCATCCACAAATCCAAAGACATTATGCTATTTGAATCATCTATAGTAATGACACGAAAATGAATCTTGTGCTTCTGACTCACAATTTTATGATCTCTCTACTTCTTTCCTGCTCAGAAAAGCATATTCTATTAAGTTAAAAGAGAATGCATCACTTCATTGTTCTTAGCCTGGTGCAGGCATTCAAAAATACAGGCAGATAAAGAAGAAGGGTAGAACTAGACAGCAACATCAAAGTCATGAGGATGAGAAAATTCCAGTCCCAAAGTATTATTTTTGTTTTACTTCTTTGCTTCTCACATCTGCTTCCTTTATATGTTTCTAACTTGGCATTAATTATTTATTGAGGTAGTTGCAGATTCACACACAGTTGTAAAGAAATAATACAGAGCAATCTCTTTGTACATATTGCCCAGTCACCCCAATAACATTTTGCAAAACCGTAATATCACAACGAGGAGGGTGACACTGAAACTGATGCAATCTGCCAGTCTTATTCAGATGTATTCATACTCATTTGTGCACATGTTCTATATTAAGTTCTATATAATTTTATCACCTGTGAAGTTTCGTGTATCTGCCACAACAGTCAAGATACTAAACGGTATCAGCATCCCAGGGATCTGTCATGCTGCCCCTTTATAACCACATCCACCTCCCATTCTCCCATCTCCAACCCCTGGAAATCACCAATCTATCTTCCACTTATTCTTTAAATTCTTACCCACACCCCAGTAGGGACCCTGCATCCATCTATACACCCAGTACTCCTCCATTATTCCCTGTTACTGCTCTTCAGCATCACATCACTCAAGGTACAATCAATCTTAGATTACAGCTGGCCGTGGAAAGACTGGGTTTTTCACTGTATTGACAGAAACTATCCAAAGCGAAAGCAAAAAGAATTTTGGTGTTCAAGTGCATATGGCTCCAATATGTGCATATCCACTACTATGCATATGCCTGGCTACTTAAGGAAGAAAAAAGACAACAAATATTCTAGAAACTTTATAATGCTTCCTATAAATGTAAGTAATATTTCCTCTAATATCAAAGAAAACATTTACGTTTCTCAGACTATCAAATTTACAGTGGCATGGCTCAGCTTTTTCCACTTATAGAAAGCCTTTTATCTATCGCAAAGACTTTAGTCATTCTACATCAGTACATGGAAACCCTTACTTCCACTTAAACATCATTTTTTTCCCTTACAAGCCATTATAAACACTGTCCTTTACTTGAATTTAAAATCCAAAGAACAAAGGATAAATTGCTGATTATAACAGTGGAATTTAAAAATATAAATAAAATGTCCGTGCAACTTTTGGAGCACCAAGCAGTATGCATGCAACTGGAATTCATACCTGCAGAGCTAAGGAGGACACTGAAATCTGTTCCCCTCTGTGACTCTCCACTTTCATTATTGACCTCTTTTTCAATATCTTGATATCGATCCCAGTTAGAGACAATCTTTCTTTTAGAATAATTTCCCTGTTCATCATTCTCTTCTCCGTGGGTCTCTGCATCGCTGTCATCTTCAACCTGCAATCATTAGAGACAAATCACTAAGTAGGCAGTGGAAATCCTGACCTTAGGAGACTTCCCAGTAAAACAAAGAAGTGCATAGGTACTGCAATAAAAAGCAACTTATAGACAAAGCTGTCTGATGATATTAAACATTATTTTAAGAGAATCACACTATACCAGAGTGTTCTTTCAGAGTAAACTTTTCAGTAATCATTGAAAAGAAAATCTGGCAAGCAGCTACCTAAACATTTACGTAACTGATCTCTAAAATCTACCCCTATGTATCCTATTTCAATAGCAGTTTCACCCAGCTGAAATAATCAAGGCTGTAAGCATCTTAAACTCAAAGGACTTCAGGATGGAAATCAACTCTTCCTTTCAATTTAAGGATTTTACAAACACATTCCAGATATTAGTAACTGACTAGTAAATATGTTTGTAAGCTTTATTTTTTTAATTTTTTAGAGCAATTAACGTATGACATCATTTAAAACTATTTAACTTAGACACACATTCCTAGGAAAATATCATTACACATAGTGAGGGACAATAGCTTGTGAAGTGGAGCATGAATTTATGTGTATAACTATATTTATATGTATAACTATAATTTATATGTTTAACTATATTTATACATATGGTTCCATACTCTACAATAATGAAAACCATTCCATGTCCAAATTTGGTTTAGTACCTCTTATTAACAACTTGAGTTTGGAATAAATACATGTTATGAACAGAACCATCCAGATAGGTAATTCATGAATGTTCGGAGGTTATATATTGACACGAATCTATTTTTAAAAATTGAGAGGAGAGAAATTGTTGACAAAGGCCAGGCCACTTCATCTGCCCTTGATAGCTTTCTGTGAGTGCCCTCTCAGGTGCCCTCTTAACACTCTGGAGGCTCAATTTCTATAACTTGCATGTGTGATTTTTCAGGTAGCATCTGTGTGAGCAACTAGTTGTATACATGTGGACACACACACATCCACAATACTCCTAGAAAAAAAGCTGGCATAAAACCTTAATTCAATAGAAAAGAAAACGCTTGGGTATAAAAAAGTTCCCGGTATTACAACTATGTTATATAGATTTCTATAGGCTTTAAATAGCAACCCTGCTCAGATGCAGTCTAGAGAACAGTTTGTAGTCTTGGGCACTGAAAGGTTAAGACAGCATGCAGAAAGATGCACAATGTGAAAAATTCTAGAAGATAAGGAGCCCAGTTTCTTCAATAAATGAACTGCAAGAAAAAAAATGGTGGGAGAGGATGGAGAAAACTGTAAACCAAAAAAGCTTAAGAGACAATCAGTTGTAATGTAGGGAACTAACTTGTACCAATTTGAATCATCTAGAGAAAATAATGACCATGAGACAGCTGGGAAAAGGAAATAATGACTGGATATGCGATTTTATTAAGGGAATACCACGAATTTATTGTTTGTTATGATACTGGTATTGTAAATTTTTTAAGTGTTGTTAACTTTTAGATATAAATGATGATCTCTTTATGGATGAAAAGATAGGACATGTGAGATTTGCTCCAAAATAGTGGATGGAGAGGAATGGTGGACAGACATGAAATACACTAGACATAATTGATAACTACTGAAGCTGGATGATGGGTACATGGAAAATCATTATATTATTATTCTATCTCCTTTGCATGTATTTAAATTTTTCACAAAAGAATATTGAATTTTTAAAACAGAGAGAGATGCACATAGAATCTAAAGACATGGTTCAAACATGTGTCCCAAACATTGCAAAATCCTTATCAAGAAAAAAACTAGTGAAATGTATTAAAATAACTCATCTGTATAGGATGGGTTAGTGTGGACTTAAAAAAAAAAAACAAGCTTTTATTAACAAAGAAACAGGACATGTGAATTGAAGAAAATTAAAAAAGAAGCAAAACTAAAATAAATAAAAACTTCAAATTCCCTCACCCACAGAGTACCACTAACCCCTGAGTATACATACTTTCAGATCTTTTTCTATGTATATATTTACATATACTTCTTTTTGGTCACCAGATGTTTAAAAAATATTCTTCATCTCTCCATTTTAATAAATTTCATTTCATATAACACCCAGGCTATTTCCAAATTTCCCTAACCCAAAAAATTTCCTATACAGATGGTTTTTCCAAGACAGCATCCAATCCAGGACCAGGCATTGTATCTAATTGTTTATTCCTTAAGTCTCTTTGAATCTAGCACAGTCCCTATTTTTATAGCACTGACTTACTGACAAGGCCAGGCCAGGTCTGGCTGCTTCCTCATGGTATTATTTATAGATTTTTATCTCCAATATTATGTAATCTAAAAAATTTAAGTGCTCAATGGAGTCAAGCTAAATATTTTTGGCTAAAACACATCACACATGGTGCTTTGAACCTTACCTTACACCAAATCAGATGACTGAACAAACATAAGTGCCATAATACTAAGATGGGCCCCAGGGTCCGGATAATGAAGTCTGATCCACTCACCCAGTGTACATACAGATACGTCTTCCCTGTTTCATCTAGGAAATTGTTTGTGTAATGTTATTTGGTCCACTGTGAATTTCTAGTTCCCCAACTGTTCACTTAACAAATTTAACACTAGTCAATAACCCTCACCTGAATCAATTTTCATACACTTTCAAAAAATAACAGACTAAACGGCCTTTCAAGATCACTTTTGGCACATAAGCCTCCTTGCCAAAACATAAAAAAATGGCAGTTTATATTATGTTCTAGGGACTGCAAAGACTGCCTGAAAACTAGAGCAGTTCTGCAAGTTTCTCAGAACCAAAAGATTCTGGTAGATTAGATATGTAATGGAATGAGATCTGCTATGTAAATAAAAAATTATCAGGAACGTTTTAAAGAAAATAGCCTGTAACTGATGAGAATTTGTGGGATAGAACTAGAGCTGAAAACAACAGCAGTGTTTGTCCAGGAAAACCCAGTATTATTTTGTTGGCCCACTGGGTGAATAAAGTTCAGAGAGGCTCCTCCAGTTAGTATAAAACCTCTGAACATAGCTATAACACATGGCAAAAATGTGAACCTGGGCAAAATAATTACATTGATCTGAAAGAAGTTTATCATCTGAAACACCTGAGGAACTATTAATGCCATGAAACAAGCACTGAAATGGAAAGTGGGAGATCTAGACAGAATTAATGGTCCTGCCACGGGTTTCCAATGGGCTGAGCCTTGTGCATATGAATGACTCACTCATCCCCGAATTAGAAGAACAACTGAACAAGGATCTCATTACCCCTACCCAAATGCAGAGACAGAGCTGTCAGTAGCCTCCATTCACAAGAGAGTGGTAAGAAGTAATCATAATTATTTTTAAAGTTTAGAAGACATTTGATCTAACTGAGAGAAAGATGTATCTTAAAAACTCCTAGATAATTTTACAGGTTCATTGTGCAAAGATCTGAGACAAAATAAACATATGCAAAGCCTCAATATGGAGAAAAAGGACAGAGCAAATAAAATACTGATCAGAAAACAAGGTGAAAACTAAAGATACAGACATCATTTTCATATTAATATTATTATAAAATTAGTCTGGTGATATTCACTGTCATATTTTATACCTGGACATTGGTCACTGGTTACATTGTTCAGAGATTTAACAGGAATCCAACTAGATTAATAAGCTGAAAACCTATTATATAATCAAACTACTGCTGAGCTATTATCTTGTCCAATGACACACACACAAAAATCCGTTTACAACAAACAGATTCCCAACTAGAAAGAGTAGCTTAATGTTTTGCAGTTTTTCCAATAGGCAAGGGTCATTTTGACTTTATGTACTCTGCAGAATGAAAATGAAAAACATTATTCCATGGATTTCTACTCAAGGTTGACAATCATCTAACACTCTCCAGGAAGGAAGGCTAGGACAAAAAACTTGGCACCTAGCAACCCTGCCCATTCATGGACATATGTGAACAATTTGTGAGACTGTTAAACTATCAGTTTTCTTCTCAAAACTAAAACACCTATCATGTTTTTACGCATGTTCCAGGTAATAAAAGGATACTGAAAATCTCTATTGAAGAAAGCACTGTATCACCATAAGGAACTATAGCCTACATTGAACTAACTAGGTAAATGAGATTCAAACTCATTAAATCCACAGAGATCTTAAAAGTGTCATTATAGGCAACAATTAAATTTTCTTCTTTACCAAACTAATACCAGCATAACTAGCAGAGTATAGAATATTTGTCTTTTTCCTAATTCACCTCAAATATTAGCATTAAAATCATTAGATACTCAAGAAAGGAAAACAGCAAAAAGTAAAGAAAAAGACTAGATTACCAACTTCCTAACAATAATTGACATAATAACTCTATGTCATTCTCCAAACAGGAGAGCCAACGGCCCCTTACACATACATATTAGCGCTGTAGAGTAGAACAAAATTTAGCCGAATTCTCTGCCACTTTCAAACATGGCTTGCTTCTCCTCTAGTGTCCAGTAACACGTTCCTCATTTCCATCTGACACCTACCCCGAGGGGCCTTTAATGTTCATATTTCTACCAATGGTATCTTCGAGACAACCCAGGCTGCTTCTATTATGCACCTTAAAATTCTTCCAGCCTCTACTCACTACACAATTCCAAAGCCACTTCCACACTTCTAGCTATCTGTTAGAGCAGCACCCCATTTCCTGGTACCAACATCTGTATTACTTTCCTACACCTGCCATAACAAAGTATCACAAATTAGATGGCTTAAAACCACAGAAACTTTTCTCTCACAGTTCTGGAGGCTAGAAGTCTGAAACCTGGGCATTGGTAGGGTGGCTCTT